GGCCTATCCTCTCTGGATTTTTCTAATTCTAAGCTAGGTTTTTGGGTCTCTGGGCACGAGAGGAAAAGCACCACCATTGGCCCACCCTATCCGTACAGTTGCTTCAAAGAAAGGGAACCAGAACTACTCATCTCCACAGCTGATCTGCATTATAAAAATCCCTCCACTGTTGAATGTGATTTTGAAGCCTTGATTTCACCAGTCATATCTTTGCAGCATAGAAAGTGAAATAAAATATATTGCAGGAGCTGCTGTGCTAAGAGTTTGTTTCTGCAAAAATCGGAAATGGGATTTCTGTGCTAATCACAAGGGAAAAGGAATGTGAAGAGAGGTGGAAGAAACTACAGCTTGCGAAACATTTCAAGGTTGTACTTTATATAATGCCAATGCCTCTTATCCAATAGCAGTATTGAATGTATGTTCTCCTCCATACTTGGCATTAGTTGGACAAATGAATGAAGCCATTATCATGTTAGTTTTCAACAGTGCAAATACATTTCTGATCTGCCTTTTGGGGTCTTTCTTGACACCATGCCAAAAAACCAGAGTTACATAAGATGGCTTCATTAACAAAAGAGGTGCATTTAATTTCAAATAAAAATATTACAGAACATAGTGTATGAAAATATGTAACTTGGCACCTAATTGTTACTTATTTTTAAAAGTTGCTAAAAACTAAAAGCATGGTCCAGATCCAAATATATCTCTCCTCACGTGGTGGAATAAAGAGTCCATAGATGAGAAGGCTATCAATGGCCACTAGCCATGAGGGCTTTGCTCCATCTCCACGCTTGGAAGCTAGATGGGCCATGGACCTGATCATGCCTGAGAATGGGAAGCTAGGGTCAAAGGGGCTTTGAGTGCAGCGAGAAACCTTGAAAGGAAAAGGATTTCTAGTACAGGAAATTTCATTTTCATATTTATTTCTGCTCCATCCCACTGTCCCTCATCCCAAAATACACACTCACACAGCTCCTCACTACTATTGATCTATGTGCCTGACTTCCAGTAAGAAGAAGGAAGAAATTTCCTATGATGGCCAATCCCTCCTCCCTAGCATTCTTCTGGGCTTCCACAGTTGTTGTTTTCAAAATGATGACATATGGGAAAGCCCTCAAAGCTTTCCTAACTTATCACAGTTTGGGAATTACTGCTATAAAAGCTTCTGCCAAGCCTGGAGCAAAAGCATGGGTTTTGGAAAGCAACATTAACATGATAAACCAGCCTCTTGTGTTGAAAATTCCCTTAGTTTCAGAAGTATTCTCATAGCTTGGTAAAATGCAGCAGGTTCTAAAAGCAGATTTTTCCAACTGCATACATTCCCCATCAGACTTAAAAATAAATAAAAGCTGAACGAGCACAAAGTGTGCTTTGATCCTTGCTTATACCCTATATCAGTGGTGGTGTTTCTCCATAGGAGCCAGTAATTCTTATCTACTATACAGTGGGAATCCATGTATGAACCTGCCTTAGTTCAGTAATGAACGGATGCGAAACCAGGAGTTATTTAAGGGTGTTTACAAGGATGCAATGACCTGCTGAAAGAGGAAGGCAAAAAAGAGGAGGCTCTGATGAGAAAGAGGAATATGGTTTGGGAAGTTTAAGTATGGAGAAATGACTGTGTACATGCTGTCATTTAACTGCTTAACTGCTTAATATGCTTAATAAACACTGGCATCTCTAATACCTCCCCCCAAATATTTCCAACAGCTTCTTATTAGCTTTCCAACTACCTCACTTTTTGTGCCCAACTGCACACTAACAAAAGCCTTAACAACATGAGCTTTGCTAGATCAGACCTTCGGCCCATCTCATCCAGAAACAGTGGCCAACTAGATGCCCATGAGAAGCCCACAAGCAGAACAGGAGGGTGATAGTTCTCCCTTGCTTTCCTATGCTGCCTCTGATTCTGGAGAGAGTAGCCATTATGACTAGTAGCCACCCTGTATGAATCTGTCTAATCCCATCTTTTTAGAGATTGCGAAAAGCCAAAGATCCATGTAACTGTTGATGTGTAGGATGCATACTATATTCTGTACAACAGTGATTTCCATGTAGAAATTTTGCCTTCAAAATCTTTGAAATGCCCCTTAGTATCACAGAATCATAGGATTATAGAGTTGGAAGGGACCCCAAGGGTCATATTATTATTGGCCTCATTGGCTTGTCAAAAAATAAATAAAAGCTTCAAAATATTACTAGGCCATCTCTCCAGCAGATACTCTTTCAAGTTTGAACTTGGTCACATCAACTTGATTTGTGCAGCCACACAGCCCAGTGTAGGGCCAGCCCAGTTTGACCTAGTCCATGTTTATGGTGCTTAAACTTTATGTCTTTTTGGACACAGAATCCTGAAGGAACCAACACTAAATTTCTGTAGGCACCGTGCAGAATCTTACATAGTGATGAGGCCAGATATCCACGTGATATGGCTTAGGAGGTCACATTTTGCCCACTCAGCTCTCATGATGCATACTAGCCATACTCCAAAGGACATTTGGAGACCTGCAGATGTAGGGTGCTATAGTAATAATAATAATAATAATAATAATAATTTTCCTGCTTCTAGCTCCCCATGCAGAATAAGAGAGCATCTTCCACCCTGGTGGTGTGCTCTTTTGCATGCCTGTCGGCAGCCATGTAAGCTGAAAAGTATCATTCATGATGGCTAGGGTCATCCCAACCTCCCTATGAAGAACACGAGAAATGTGTGCTGTTTTATTTCACCCTTCATTCTTACTTACGTCAGAAACGAAATTGGCCTTTCAGAAATGCCAAAGGCTGGCCTGACATAGCCTTTAATATTTGCCTTCTGTTTGCTTTGTGGGAACAGAAGGGAAGCATCTACTCATTGTTGGCATTTTCTGCACCAAATATCTGCGTTTTCTTAATCAACGCACTTCAAGTTTGGAACATTTCCATAATTTGTATTGACTCAGCTGTCTCTGTCCATTCTGCTTCTTTTATGCTTGCAAACTGAGCACATTCACATACCCTGGGTGAACAGAAGCCAAATCCCAAAGGGATCTTTTTAAAGCCTTGACATATAGACCAACGTTATAAAGTATTGCACAACCCACAGCTGCTTATAGGATTGTGTGACTATATTATGGTACAGTAGCAAGCTATGGCACAGTTGCATTGGTATCCTGTGCAATGGTGATTACATGACTGTTTTACAGAAGAAGGATTTATCTTGCTAGTGGATGCAGTAACTATCAGCAAATGTTAAAGGCACTGAAAAGATATCCTAACTGGCTCGTTTCAACCCAGGGATTTTACACAACTGTATACTGAATAATTTGTTCTTTCCTGACTTTTCTCATGCAAATCCACAAACATTCATTTCAGTTCTCAAGAGGATGATTTTCCTTATTTCAAAAATCTTTAAAGAATCTCTACATCTCTCAACTATTGTTTCTGGCCCAGAAGATCTCAGTCATAAAACCACTTTCCACACTTCCTTTCTGATCTGTGACTCCTGGTAGCCTATCTGTTAGGGAAGGATCATAGCTCAGTGGTAGAGGATCAGCATTACATGCAGGAGGTCCCAGGTTTATTCCCTGGAATCTTTGCATACAGCTGGGAGAGACCCCTGCCTGAGACCCTCTGCCAGTCAGAGATGGATGGATCAGTGCTCTGACTCAGTATAAGGCAGTTTCTCAAGTTCCTATGTTCCTGTCTGCACTGGGGCAAATGTGTATCTGAAGCTTCAATACCTTTCCTGCGTAATATTGTAATTCTCATAGGACACAGGACTTTTTATCCTTAGTCACCATGGTTTACATTTTTAATGTGTTGTTGTAAGACACCCAGAGAACACTGTTGTGGCAAGTCATACATTATATTATAAATAAATAAAGTCTCTGTAAGTACCTTTAAATAAATTTATTTAGCCCAAAGCTATAAGTCTCCTGAGATGTCACAGCTTCTTCACACACTGTACCTTCATTTCCATTAATAAGAAAGGGTAAGTAAGTCTCACTGTGCCTTTGCTATGATACCAGAGAGTTGAGCCATCAAACACCTGCTTGGAATTGATGTTGTTTGATGGCCAGGGAGAGATCAGCTGCAATAACTACATACTTGAATTTGTACTCTTTCCGTGGGACTCTACTGAAAAATCTGTTTGTAAATTCTTGGGTCTCCCAAGCTTTTTAACCATGTAAGAGTACTATACAAATACCTACAAGGCTCAGTTAGTGGGGATTCAAAGGAGCTTTCAGCAGCCATAGAACGGATATATTGCAGAGCATGATATGTACCTTTTTAACTGGCAATGTGTATACTTTCTAATGCCTTTGCATTTAGTAGAGTGGAGGTGCATAAGGGTGTGTGTTTTTTTAACTGAACTGAAACCGACACCAGCAGTCCTTGAAACATTTCCTGAAAATAAAGGAATTATTTACTGAAACTATATAAATGCCAGGTGTTGCTTACTGTTTGGTGCCTTCAATACAGGAGACTGACTGCCTCTGCCCAGCGTGAATCCACACACCTTGGTCACCATGCGAGGCCCTCGTTTAACTGGGGACCCGCCAAGTGTTTAAAACGCTGGTAAGCAAACTTCCCGGCCACACAGAGCTCTTCTTCAGGCCTGGTGTTCACAGGAAAGGAACACCTGCTCTGCCAGGCTCACTTTCCACCCAGCAAAGCCTGCAAACCAGGAACGACTCTGAGGGAGAGAGAGAGAGAGAGAGAGAGAGAGAGAGAGAGAGAGAGAGAGAGAGAGAGAGAGAGAGAGAGAGAGAGAGAGAGAGAGGAGTCGCCTTCCAGCAGTTCATCCCGAAGTGTGGCAACTTTCCCTCAGCCTTCAGGCGCCTCGCCTCTCCTTCGCTACCTCACACACAAACTCCAGGCCCCGCCTCCCTGGACAGGCCCCGCCTCCGGCTCCTCCCACCCCTCGTGGCGCAGCCAGTCAACGCGAGGCTGTGACATCAGCGCAGGGAAGCCGACCGGGGAAAGGAGCGAGGTGGATACATTGTAGCGATTCCTTTTCCTGTCTCGGCGCTCGAGAGACGTTCCGCGAGCAGCCGGGCGCTGGGGCCAAGCTGGGGCGGGAGGGGAGCCGCGAGAGAAGGGCGGGCGGCCGCTTCTTCCGGCCGGGAGCTCCGGCGGGCGCGGGTCGCAACAAAGGAGGGGTCGCGCCTTTCGCCAGCGCCCAGGAGGATCGGGAAGACCCCTGAATTTCCGACCCGGCTGCCGCGCGCAAAACTTCATACTGTTGGGGGAGAGGGAGGAGGGCGAGAAGGAGGGGCGAGGCGAGGCGGCCCGGGAGGGAAGAGCTGCTGGTGGCCTCGGCTCCCCTGACGGCACGATGCTGTCCAACACCCAGAACCAGAACCCCCAAATACTTTTCCCCAACCCGCCGCCGCCGCCCCCGCCGCCGATCCAGCCGCCCCAACAGCAGCAGCAGCAGCAGCAACTGGCCCAGCAACAACAATTCCCCCAGTTCCACATCAAGTCCGTCCTCCCGATCAAGAAAAACGCCATCACGGATGATTACAAGGTCACCACGCAAGTCCTAGGGCTGGGGATTAATGGGAAAGTTTTGGAAATCTTCAACAAGAAAACTGGAGACAAATTCGCTCTGAAGGTAAGGCGGGTTGCCGGCGGTGGGAGCGGAGCGAATCGGGTCGAGGTCCCGGGAGGCCGATTCTGATCCTTTTCTTGATTTAAAAGTTTTCCCTGCCCTCTGTTAGAAGTTTTAAATTCCTGTGGGGCTGTCATCCCCATGAAAGCAACCGCCAAAATGAATAGTGGACTTGTTTCCGAGTAAACACTATTAGGATCGGGCTCTTGTAGACCCTGCCTATGGCAGAAGATCGATCCGTAGCGGCGTAGAACAATAAAACTTGCTCCATTTTGGTGCGTGACGTGTGTCTATCGGGGGCGGCTGATCGGGGGTGGAGGTGGGGGTGGCGGGTATTGTGTCTAGTTTAAACCCGCAGGCTGGCGAAGTTGCAATGGAGGCGCCGCGCTTTACGGCCTAGGCAGGAGTTCCGCACTTACTCACCAGTGGAAAGTTCTGCCCCTTTTTTTTAGGGATAGGGGGCAGCTGATGATGTAATCACGTGGCGGGGTTTGTTTGGTTTACTCTTACTTCTTACTCCTCCTTACCAATGCCGCCTTTTTCAATCGGATCCCGCGTTTGAATGAACTGCGAGAAGTTGCCGGGGGTGGGGGATCCCCAGCGGCTCGAGAGCGCGGGGTGACTGTAATCCTAGCCCCACTTACCTGGGTGTAAACCCCACTGAAATAATGGGGGGGTGGGCGTTTGCTTCTGAGTAGGCACGGGAAAGCTCACGCTGTCCAGCCTTGGAGCCAACTCCTAGGGTCCGAGGGGTCTTCGACCCCTCCCAATAAAATATTTGAAGGGGCTGCCCCCCTCAAGTTGACGGGTATTGCCATTCAAATATTGTGCGTGCACCGTGCCATGTGATCGATTATTCGGGGCGGGGCTTCCCTGGGACCCCGGTTATTTTATTCAAGTTGGCAACCCTGTGCCCAGTGTTGTCAATATAGGCTTGGCACTTGACCCTTCTCTCTCTCTGCCCCCCACCCCACCCTCTGCAGGGGGTTGCAATGTGTTTTGTGAGCGGTCGTGTCCTAGGACTGGGAGAAGGGCTTGGCTCGTGTCTCCGCGGGGGGGGGGGCGACAAACAAGAGAATCGAAAGCCAGGCATGGACAGCTGCTGCATCTCACGTGGGGCCGCCGCAGACCGCAGCCCCCGGTGTAGAAGTGTAAACGAGGCGGGGGGGGAGGACGACTCCGTAACGACTCGGAGGTGGACCCGCCACCTGCACTCACGAGCCATTAATTTTGGGTCCCGTGGGGGGGGTTCCTTCTCTCCCACCCTTCCCCCGCTTTTATTTAAAGTCCCGCTTCTGTAAAAGCCTCCCAAAGTGGTTCGGGAGGAGGCAGTTCCTGGTCTTTAGGGAAACGGTTAGTTTCGCCATCGCCGGTCCCTCCCCCCTCTTTCCCCGCAGGTCTGAGTAAGAGGAGGAGGAGGAGGAGGGACGAGGCGAAATGGACCCTCCGCCGATCTCTGCCCGGCAGTGAAAGGAAGGCGACCGCGTCGGGGAGGAGGGGCTTCCGTGGGGAGTCTTCTCCTCAGGCTGGTCGTCTATAGTCACGACAAGGCTTTTTAAAAAGGAAAAAACGCGCCGTCCACCATGAGCAGCGAACCTCTTGGTGAGGAAAATGGAGATTCGCCAGTGGTCCTCTTAACATGTATGTTGACAGCTCACGTGTTTCCTCAGCTTTGACAAGGGAAAGAGGGCACAGGGCGGTTGGACTTCCTTGGCTGCCCCCTGAGTGTGTGTGTGTGTGGGGGGGTCCTTTTCTGGTAAATGCTCCCAAAGTCATTTTCAGGCACTAAGGCCGCAATCCTAACCCCACTCACCAGGGAGCAAGCCCTACTTTAGTTCAGTGGGGTTTACTTCCGAGTAAATGTGGTTGGGCATCTGCTGTAAACCGCCCCCCCCCAACAGACACACACCACTTTGAGCCTCTCCTGAGTTATTTCTAAGGGCATGTCAATTTGTGTAGGGGTAAAACACAGAAGATAAAAAAACCCCAGTGTACACGCGCGAGACCATATGCACTACAATTGAAGTGCCCTTTGTATTTCCTATAAAGTGAATGTAAAAAATCTAGCTTTGTTAGAACGTGCGCCCTGTGTAAAAAAAGCATAGCTGTCAACTTTTCCCTTTTTTAAAAGTGAAAGTCCCTTATTCCGAATAAGATTCCTTGCAAGAATAGTTGACAGCTATGAAAAAAAGGGGTGAACACCCCCTTCTTTCTGTTCTGCATTCTCAACTTTCAGATTTCCACATATGTAGCAGGTGAGAGGCTAAAAGATATTTACAGTGTTATATGTAAAAATCCTTTTGTGTTATATTAGTTACAGAGAGCAGTGTCATTTGTGAAAGCGTGCTACGGTTGTGGGCATTCCTAATACAGTTTATGTCCGAACTTTTTATTGGGAATATCTCATTTTGAGTTTAAATGTGAGTTCATTTTACAGGTGGGAACTGAGGCTGTGTGTGTGTGTGAGCGACTTGTCTACCTAGATAGGAGAAGCATGACTACCTAGATACTGGACCTGAGACTCCCTGTTCCACATCCACCCATTCATCTATGACATCAGGCTGGCAGTGGCTGTTCTGGGAGGTCCATGTGGTATAGAGTGTTGGACTTGGGAGACCTACATTTAAATCCCTGCTCAGCCATGAAGTTGACTGGCAGGCCTTAAGGCTGTCTGTCTCAACCTAACCTTAATACCAATTAATAATAAAGAATACTGGATGGTAACAGCCAAAATAGCTTTGCAACTAAGACTACAGAAGTTATTAGCCCACAATTATCCAGGAGAGTGGGATTTTTTTTACCACCTTGAGCTAAGAGACAAAAATTTCAGATAGTGGCTGAATACTGTGTCATTGTGTCTCTTGTTTTTGTGAACTGAAGCCTGGAAGAATGAGGTGAGAATGAGCAATAGAATCCTTAAGTGGTAGAATCTACTACCCTGAAGTGGTCAAATGACCTTGGGCAGCAACATCTTAAGTGAAAAAAAGATGCAGCAGAAAGCTAACACATCGGGGAAGTGAGCTGGAATATATATTGTTTCTCTGATAGCCCCCCCCCCCAAAAAAAACTTAACAAAGGTTGTATTTTACCTGCAATGAAATTCAACAGATCCCTCAAAACCTCCATTTCCCCCCTGCGCTTAAAATCGTACAACCTCAGGGTTCTACTGCTTCATTCTTTTGCATATAAAGATCAGCCCTCACTGGAATGCCAAGGGAGACTGCTGTTTTTCCATCCATGAAATGGAAATAATGCAAAGCTACCTTGCAGGTGTGTTGTAAGGGCATAAGAAAGGAATGTAAAGCACTGCGGTGACTAGCATTCTTCATCTTCTTGACCTCCCTCCTGACATTGGTTTGAATACAGTGGTACCTCGGGATGTGAACAGGGTTCGTTCTGGAGCCCCGTTCGCATCCTGAACAGAACGTAAGGTGCGCGTGCACAGGTCGCGTTTCGCCGCTTCCACACATGCACGTGACGTCATTTTGACCGTCTGTGCACGCGCAAGTGGTGAAACCTGGAAGTAACGCGCTCCGTTACTTGCGGGTCGCCGTTGAGTGCAACCCGAAAATACTTATCCTGAAGCGTATTTATCCCGAGTTATGACTGTAATTTACATTCTGTGTGACTGGCTGACCTCCTCCAATGGAAACTTTTTAGAAGTAAAACTCTCCACATGGGTCTGAATGATCTCATAATACTTTGCATACAGTCAATGTTTGTTTTGTTCTTTGTTTCGAAACGTACCTTCTCATCACTAGTATTTGTGTAATATTTCTGCGTCAGCTGTCACTGCCTTCTCACTTCAGAAATATTTGGGTGCATGAGGACAGTATGCCATTACAGCACTACTGTCGAAAGGTGCTGGCTTGTGTGGCTGTTGCATATAACCAGGGTGTGCCTTTATAAATCTCCTTTATGATGAACACAAATCTAATCTAAACCAACCATGAACAAAAGGCTTAACAAGACTCAAACCCACAGCCTTGTGAAATAAAGTTTAAAGAATGGAGTGAGCGATTCCATAATATTCTGCCAGTAAGAAAATGGCACCTTCATTGATATTCCTTCATGTGATTCATCATATAATAATAGTTATCTAAAAGTTAACCTGTAGAATGCTAATTACCCTGACCATTCTCATTTCTAGAGACCCCTTGGGCTTAATTCAATAAGGCTGATTCAATAATTATATTAGACAGCATTGTGGTGTATTGTTCATTGTGACATAGGTGGTACATATGTGTTTGGAGCATGAACCCTTTTCTAAATGACTTTGGAAGTGGTGAACTCTTACGTGCGATGGATACATCTCTGCTGCCTATTCCAGAAATTTGGAGCAGCCTGTGTCTTAGACATAAATTTGCTCCCACACATTAGCTGTTCAGAAATGCTATACATTATCTTGTTAATTGTAAACATGGGAAAAGAAGAAGTCTCCTTCTGTTGCAATTAAATCTTATTTCCCCTTTTTCTGAAACATCCGTTTTACAAGCAACTGGAAAGAAAAACCCTGGCAATTCTCATGCAAAGCAAATGTCTCTGTGTAGCCATAACTGCTGAGCTTAAAAAGAGCCTGTGGAAAGTGCTCTTTTACCTAATCAGCTGAATGGCAGATTCCTGCATTTTGCCGGAGAACATGCACATTTATCACTATTATTATGTCTGAGACACACTAATTCTATCCCCCCCATCTAAGCTGTAAATGAATAGGCTCAGCTTCTATTTTGACAGAACACTCTTAATCAATTCAGCAGTTGCCACAACCACTCTAAATTGTAAGTTTCTAACGCTCCCCTGTTGAAGCAGGAGGAACGAGGGTTGGGGCGGAAGAGAAGGCGTACACTCCAGTATCTCCATGACCACTCTGCGTTGAAAGCATGGGTTGAGATAAGGCATGCAGGTCTCTAAGCGCCATTTATCTTGCCGACAGCAAAGCACAATGCCACAGTCATGCGCTGTATCTCACTTTGACTTTTTTAATAAACTGGAACCAATTAAAG